GTGTTGGGAGGTGGGAGGGAGGTGATGGATGACCTATAGATCTTGGCAGAGCCGGAGGCCAGTTGGGATGAGATGTGGGAGGGGCTCTGTCCCCTGGGGGAGGCTCACTAGGTGACACGGCCATCCACCCCCCACCCTGGCATGCTACACCAGCTGGCCCAGGGCTTCCAGCCTGTGCACAAGGCTACCTGCGGAGCCCTACATCAAATGTGCCCTCGGGCACACACACACACACACACACACAAGCAGGCACACCAAGCCCAGCCTCTGCAGGGAGCTTGGGCCCCTGCCACTCTAAGAATGCACAGTTCAAATGGATCCACCCAAGATGCCTCCTCTCACCCTGACTGGCACTGGCATTTCATCTGAACCCTAGCTCCTGGGGTGACTTCAGCTCAATGTCTCTGTCCTTGCCTCACAACTGCACCACCGAGCCAGCCCTCCTGGAACTGTGTGGCTGGCACCTAGCAAGGAGCTGCTGTGGGGCAGCCTTACAGTACCTTGGGCCGAGGTGCGTTGGGATAGTGGGTAAGGGGGATGGGCTGGCGCCTGTATTGCGCGACGGGCGGAGTGTGAGTGTGCGGTTATTGCGTCCTGGGAAGGACCCCCCCCCATGGTCTTTGCCTACTCCCCGCCCCCCCACACCTGCCCCCTCCAGGCTGGAGGGGGGGGCGGCCCCGCCTAGGTTTTGTGGGTAAAACGGGCCCACACCTGCTGCAGCTGGGACCGCGAGATGCGGAGCACCGAGGGTACGAGTCTGTGGTTGCCGGCGGCCAGGGGTGCGTGGCGCCGGTGAGGCGCGCGCACGGGGCTGCTCTCGGCCGAGCGACTGCGCTGAATGAGGGAACCGGAGGAGCCGCCACCGCCGCCGCCGTGAGGGTAGTGCTCCGTCTCCAGCGTGGAGGAGGAGAACACGGAGGACGCCAGTCGTCGCAGGGGGCTGTACCGCGGGAGGGAGTGCCCCGAGAGTCTGTCCTCCTCCAACTGAAAGAGACCAAGAGAGTGGAGGGAAAAGAGGCGTCAGGCACAGACTCGACAGCTCTGTGTCTCGGGGGCCACCCACCGCTCACAGCCCCCGGCGCCGAGGTCCTGCCTCGGAGCCCCTCCCCAGCCCGGATTCCTCTCACACCAGGGTCTCCTGCAAGAGCCCTTGGTCACTCACCTCCTCGGGGAAGCCTGCCTGGCCTGGTCCCACCTCAAGGTCATTCTGAAGTTTGGAGAACTGCCCACTCCCCAAATCCCAAGACTGGTCAGCAAGTGTGGCAGCTGTGTTGAACCTAATAGGCTCCAGGCTCCTCCCCCTGCACCAGAACTCTGCCATGTACCTGTCCCCATCGCGGCGGCTGTCAAGGTCTCAAGGGAATCGGACATCCCCACAACTGCCTCCCTGCCCCAGTTTCCTTGTCTGGGAGGCTGTAAGGCTCTGTGCTGGGAATAGCATCAGGTGGGTGGGGAGGCACTGTCCCAGCGCACAACAGGAGAAGGGTCTCACTGGAGGCCATGGCAGGATGCTGCCTCAGTGGCACCAGGCGGAATCCCGCCCTAGTGCCCGGGGAAGCATGGGGGCAGGGGTTTGCAGTGTGGCCTGTGTGCCTGTCACCAGCCCTTCCCTATCTCACAAAGCCAAGGGTGTGTAGTGTGGCAGTGAGAACTGGCTGGACCACTCTCTCTCGGGGGGGGGGGGGGGCGCTAATGCACGAGGGGCCTACGACACAGCACGGGTGGGTACATAAAGGACTCGTCTGCAGGACAAGTGTGTATGGCGGGGCAGGGGATGGGGGTAGAACATTCCAACAACATTCTCTTTGTTCTCACTCTACTTTCCCTTTGGACTTCATTCGTGCCAATCCTAGGAAGCTTCCCAGTAGTCCCATGCGCACTGACAGTTCGGGGTCTAGGACCGTACCCCCTTGAGAAACCAAAGGTGGCCCCAGCTACCCACACAGCAAGTGTGGGAGGTCAGAGTTTGGTCAGCAGCCAGAGAGTGACTCTAGGCTGACAGGGAAGCCCTTGAGGCAAGTCATCTTGCAGCCACCTCTGTGCCCCGACACCTGGCTGAAATCCCACCCCTGACATTCCCAGGGGGCTCCTGGCTCCTGGTACGCACTCACTCCTGGCTAGCTCCCAGCCGGCTGTGCCTGCGGTGCCCGCTGCTATGCCTTGCCTCGCCATTGCAGCTTTTAGGACTGTGAATGAAGTTCCAATCATCTTTGTCCCCAGCCTCTTGCACACTGTCCAGCATGTGGCAGGCAACTGTTCCAGTGGCCCCAGGGACTGCTAACCTTCTGCGCAACAGACAGCAGCAAAGGATGGTAAGCGGCCCTCTCCCCCACCAACCAACCACACACTCTCCGCCTGCCCAGTCCTTGTGCCTGGCGCTCTTGGCCCCATCTCATTTGCACCTGAGGTTCCCCCAGAGATGAAAGTTGGCTGAGTGCAAAGGAAATACCTGGAGGTGTCACACAGTGCCCTCCCCCCCCCAAACAGATGCTCCAACACCAGGCCTGCTCTGTGTTTTCACACTTGCTGCCACAAGAAAGTTCACACATCATATACGCACAGGGCACACTGAGCTGCAGAGGGATTCCTCGCAAAAAGAGAGTCAGGAGCGTGTTCTTGCAGAAACTCACAGCCCCCTCGGCAGGTAGAGAGTTCTACAAGTTTCTACTGCAGCGTGCAGCCAGGTCTGGACGTCCCGGCTTCCATGCAGGCTGGCTCAGCACTCGCCTCAGGCAGGAAGGGGATGGCTGCTGTGCTGAAATACTCAGCAAAACGTGGCACGTCCCATATGCTCTCCCACCAGGTGCACACGGAGGCCACGTGCATGCCGGCATGACCAGAGCCAGACCTGCTGGCACCAGCCAGTTGCAGGTGTGTCCCGGGCGTTTGCAGGCACTCCAGGCTCCCTAGCTGACCCCGCAAAAGCCATCTGTTCCTGCTAAACACACAAGGTCTCAGATGGAGTGGCTAAGCCCAGACCCTGGGTTCAAGTCCCAGTTCTTCCACTCAGCAACAAGCCTGGTTCCAGAGGCCAGGAAATGAGTCTCTGGCTCCTCACCTTTCAAATCAAGATTAATTGCCTGCTCTTGGAGGTGCTGTGAGGAACACCCATAGATACAAACTAAGGGCCAGCTCTACAATGAATGCCTTCAAGATTACCACTCTCATTATTCCAGCTCCAGCTGGGATGTTCAGGCTTTTGTAGTTCTCCACACACCGCATGCCCACTGCAGGCATGCTAGATACACTCAATAGTTGTGCACCTGCATACAGGCGTCTCATATAGGTCCACATGCATGGTGATGCACATGTTAGAGCTTCCATGACACCCACAGCTGTGGAATGCCTGTCCAAGGAGGAAGTTGGTAGAACCTGGACCTCCCTCTTCTGGTTCTGGGTTTGTCCTGACTCCACACCGGCACCATCCGTCGTCATGCACTGTCCTTGAAGTCTCCAATAGGGGACATATAGGAAACACTCAGCCAGTGTTCAGTGACTGCATGGGAGGGGCCCAGGGAGCACAGCGGGACTGCAGCCAGGGCCAGCACCCACCTGGCCCTGCAGTTGGCAGCTGACTCTCTGGGCTCATCCACTGCCACCCTTCATCCTGCCTGGCTGTGTTCTCAGCCCATACATGGGCCTCATAAGGTTCTGGCCTAACAAACTCCAGGAGCCCAGATGGGAGCCCTGCCCTGTCTCCTGCCTCCAACGTGCCGGCAATAGAGGGAACAGGAATGGGTCACCGCACAGTCAGGCTGGCACCACACTCTCACAGCTGAGCCACTCACTCTCATCAGCTAGGAACTCTCTGGTGAGGACTTGAGAGTTGCTGCTTTTTGAGTCCCCCATTTCCAGCATCCAAGACAAGGTCAGGGAGTACACTCCTCAGGGCTCAGGTACCCCTGTAGCAGGACTGGGGCTCAGTATGTTCCTCCCCAGGTCTGCCAGCCTGAACCAGAGGCAGCACAATGCTCCCCCATCTGGACCCCAGCCAGCCCTGCACCTGGCACCAAGCAGAACACAGCACAGCCCTGAGCTCCCTCCCATGTCACCTCTGAGGCCCTCCCTAGCCCCGCTGAGGGGATCATGACCTCATGTAGCACACGGTGCAAGAGTGACCATCCACTTCCCAGGTCAGAGGTCAGCCTCCACCCCCCCACCCGGAAGCCAGCTGCACCAGTGGCACAAAATACCAGAAGACGTGTCCCTGCTCCTCAGCCTGACAATTGAGAGCCCCGGCCCTCGCATGCCGTGGCAGCCCGGTTGGCGCCCCCCTTCCATCCCTGTTCCCTTTCAGACTCCTCCACCCTATTCCCCCCTCACATGGCCCACTGTGAAGCCAACCTGATGCTTGGACCACTTCCAGGGCAGCCCTCTTCTGCAGCTTCTGCCCTCCTCTGGGGGCCTCCCCGCCCCGCCCACTTCCATAGTTTCCAGTACCCTCAAATCTGCATCTCTAGCTTTGTTCTCTCTCCTGAGCCTTGCAGGCTCCTGGCCCGTTCCTTTCAGTCCCCCCTCAATCCTGGTGTTCCCAGAGCATGTGGAGCAGGAGGATGTAGGCTCCCCCACCCCACCCCACAGCACAGTCGCCCTGCCGTAGTGTCTCCCCTGCACCCCTCGGCTCCATACACTTGTTCCCATGGCTACAGCCCAAGCCACCTCCAGCATCTAGCTCATCTGGCAGCCACAGGAACCATTCCAAGCAACCGATGTCACTGTGTCACAAAGCCTGCAGCAACATACTCCAACCTTGGCCTAGCCCCACAGACCTGAGAGAGGGCTACCCAAGACTCTCCTGATGGCCCACGGGCTCCCTCCAGCCCTGTGCACAGCCTCAGTACACCCTGTCACCTGCATGGTTTTTGGACCTCTCAGCCTGTCCCCTGCCACTGAAACCAGCACGCAGATGCATGGGGCGCTGCAGGCTGCACACCAGGCCCCCCTCCCCTCCTGAACCCCAAGTGTCTGGGATCTGGAGTGGGGTGCAAGCCCACGCTTACCTGTCTCTGCGGGCCTGTGGGGTCCGACTCTCTCCGGCGAGGGCGGGGTCCCGAGTGGAAGGGTGAGTGGGAAGGGCTTCCGGGCGTGGGGGGCTGGGAGGTCTCCGAACGGCCCTCGGCCTGGCTCAGCTGGGGTGGCGGCGGCTGGGGCGGCACATGCCGCAGGTCCTCCTCAGCCAGGGGGTGCATGCCGCGTCCTCGAGGCCGCATGGCAGTGGCGGTGGCAGCGGGCTCCAGCCCCGACCGCCGCCTCTCCTCGCCTTCCTCGGGCAGCGGCCGCAGCTCCTCCGGCTCCTCGTCCGTGGTGCCCGACGTGCTGGGCTCAGCCCCTGGCGGGAAGTCCTTCAGCTCGGTCTCCTTGTCAATGATGACCCACTCCTTACTGTCGAAGTCCTCCTCCTCAGCCAGCGGCACCGAGCGGAAAGCGTTGCTCAGAGCCTCATGCTCCACCGAGGCCGACACGTCCATGCGACCGCTCGCCTGCCGGTCGGCGTGGCCTGTGTCCACTGACAGCATCTGGGCCGGCTGTGAGGAGCAGGCCTGCCGCGAGGGCGAGCCAGGCAGATCCATCCGCGACCTGAAAGGCCACCCCCACCCCGGGGGGATGCTCAGTGCTGGGCGTCAAGTGGAGTCTGTCTCCCACACTCCTCCCTGGGCCTGGCCAAGTCACCTGCTGGCTGTCACACACCCAATCTTATTTTCTGGGAAATCTTTTCTTCATTCATCCAATAAATGCTTCCCAAGGCTTACCAGTGCCTAAACTCCAGGTCCTAAAGCCAGTTCTGTTTTTGCTCCTTCTCTGGTCCTGGGGTTGGCAGCTGGCTCTCTGGGCTCATCCATTGCCCTCCCCCACAGCCTGCCTGCCTGGGTTCTCACCCCCTACATGGGCCTCATAAGGTTCTGGCCTAAAAACCTCCAGGGGCTCAGTCTCCTGCCCTCCTGGCCAGATCCAGCTCTTATTCAATCACTTTCCACCTGATCCCTACCCTCATAGCCCACACTGCCCACACCTCTGTGCCACCGCCCATCTCCCCCGCCCCAGCTGTTAGACCCTGCTCCAGGTGCCATCTGCCACAAGACAGCTTCTTGTCCAGGCCCCTCCCCATCACAGAGAGTATCCCAGCCTGTGGGTATTATTTGTCTCCCCAGGTGTGCTTTGGGGCACCTGAATACCTGACATGACTCAGGTCAGCTGCCTGCTCAGCATCCTGAACATACACAGCCCCTCCCCTGGAGTGATCCTAGCCGCCAGGCAGGGACTGGCTGCTCCCGGGAGCAGGCAACTCCAGTGATGGCCTGACCCATACTCAGCTGTGGTGCCCAGAACCCCAGCTCTCTCTCCTCCAGTTTGTACCTTCCCACACCTTGTCCAGCCCTGACCCTTCCCGGCAGGCATGGGGACTCTGGATTCCCCCCACTCCCTCCAGGTCATGGATGCCCACCAAGCATGGTTCCAGGTGGACCACTCCCTTCTCCCCACATTGTCGCCTCCCACCTTGCCTTGCCTTCAGCCTGGTCGAGTGGAGGGGGAGGGGATCAATGGGTGATGGCCCCGCCCATCCCTGGACCCACCTCCTTTCGTGCAGCTCCACCCGCCCATCGGCGGTAGACAGCCGCTCTGACTCCGGGCTGGTGACCCTCCGATAGCGCAGAGAGCGGACTGGGGTAGTTGGGGAATCCGGGGGGACACGCACCGGGGAGCTGGGGACCCCCACACCTCGGCTCTGCTCCTCCTCCACACAGGGGGTCTGCGGGAGAGAGGAGCCTTGTGAGCTGACACAGTAGCAATGAGGAAGGTGTAGTGATGATGACAATGATGATAATTATGGTGATGATGATGGTGATGTAGGGGAGACCCGACACCCAGGCAGGCAGACAGCAGGGAATGCCTCCCACCAGGGGGAAGTAGGTGGGACCCAAGAATGAGGTGCAAGGGGCGCCCTTATTACTTTGCCAATGTTGATCCGAAGTTTGTTTCGGTTCACGTCCGTCTCCTCCCAGACTTCAGCCTCCGGACACCCGGGGTGGGGGATGAGGTGGGGACTGGGACCCAGCCCTTCGGGGGGCCTCCCTGGCAGGATTGGGGGTGCGTTCTCCTGGTCACTCAGGTGCTCGCCCTGCAGCACGTCCTCCGTGTTCTCCCGCAGCAGGTCCCCGGGCACTGGTGTCACATTGACCACCCTGCAGAGGCCAGGAGATGGTGTGTGCAATGTTGACAGAGAAGCACTTGCTCCTGCTACTACAGCTGCCGTGGTCTGTGCTGGGGTCCCCTGATAGGAGTGGGCACAGAGGCAGCCCTGACAGGGTTGGGAGTGTCCCAACCTAATGGACCAGGGGATCTCAAAGCCGTGGCAACCGGCGGAACCTCTTGTCTTGAGGTCATGAGGTTACCCTGGACCTGGCGCTCAGGCAGCTGTAGCTCCTCAGCAGTTCCTGCTGGGCGTCAAGGCCCGGTGAGGTTTCCACTGGTGCTCACAGCCTGGCTTTTTTCTAGACAGCTTTGGAACTGCCTAGGCAAATGCCAGGCACCACCATGTGATGTCAAGTCTTGTGGACTCTCTCAACTAAATGCGTCCTCCAGGGACCAGTGTCTAGGCTGCTGCCTCCAAAACCTGCTGTTTTCAGGTTCAAGTCCAAGCTGTTCCACTTCAATCTACTTCCCTGCTAATATGCCTGGAAAGGCAGTGCAAGTTGGTCCAAGTGCTTGAGCCCCCATACCCTGGAGGGAATAACGGGCTCCTGGCCTCAGCCTGGTCCAGCTGTTGTGGCTATTTGAGGAGTGAAGCAGCAGATAGATCTGTGTCATTTCCTTCTCCTTATGTAAAACTTTTTTAAAAATTAATTTTAAAAAATGTGTGTGGCTAGCAGGATGGCTCAACTTTCTGATCCTTAGTCTGCAGTGCCAAGATCCCATATGGGCACAGGTTCATGTCCCAGCTGCTCCACTTCCCATCCTGCTCCCTGAGTATTCCCTGGGAAAGCAGCAGAGGATGGTCCAAAGCCTTGGGACCCTGCACTTGGCATGGGAGACCTGGAAGAAGCTCCTGACTCCTAGTTTAGGACTGACTCAGCTCTGACCATTGTAGTCATTTGGGGGAGTGAACCAGCAGATGGAAGATCTTTTTCTCTGCAAATCTGGCCTTTCAATAAAAATAAAATAAATCTTTTTTAAAAAAGTGTGTCCTGGAGACCCTGTCTTGCTCATTCCAGCCCCTCCTTGGGCCACCTCCGGTTCAAAAATCATCCATCAGCTGAGAGCACCTGGTTAGCAGGGTCTCTAAGCATTCTCAGTCCACTTCTGGACCTAAATGACAAGCACAACAACAGCTGTGGACTCAGGTACTCACATCACTTTGGACTCACCGAGACTGGAAACTTCTCTGTAGGACACTACTTAGAATGGGGGTGCCTGCACCCAGCGCAGTAGCCTAGTGACTAAAGTCCTCGCCTTGCACGCTCTGGAATGCCATATGGGCGCCGGTTCTAATGCAAGCAGCTCCACTTCCCATCCAGCTGCCTGCTTGTGGCCTGGGAAAGCAGTCGAGGACGGCCCAAAGCCCTGGGTTCCTGCACCCGAGTGGGAAACCAGAAGAATTTCCTGGTTCAGATGGCTCAGCTCTGGCCATTGTGGCCACCTGGTGAGTGAATCAGTGGATCAAAGATTTTTCTCTCTGTCTTTCCTCCTCTCTGTATATATGATTTTTCAATTAAAATAATAATAATAAATCTTTAAAAACAAAGCAAAAATTAAAAGAATGGGTGTGTCTATGGTGCAGTCGCCCTGAGTTCCAAAACTCCACTGTGGAACAAGCACCAAGTGTTGGAAACACAGCTTGGTGTAGCCAAGGAGAGCTAGAACATCTCCAGGCAGGGGGTTACCAGCTGCCTGCCCCCTGCCCCTGCCAAGACTCACCCAAACATGGCTGCTGTCTGCCGGGTGTTCTGCTGGGGTGGGGTGGAGGTGCTGGTGGAGAGCAGGGCATCAGTGCCCGCCTTCTCCCAGTCGAAGGCCTCGTTCTCGGCGATGCCCCGCTCCTTCATGCTGTTCTCAAACACTGACATGATCAACTGCAGGGAGCGGGGTGGTGGGAGGACAGACAGGTGACCCCAGGGGCCAGCCAGAAGGACAGGATAACAGAAGGGGGAAAGACAGGGACTTCCCGGGGCAGGGAGCAGTCTAGAGCAGGCATGGAGGGGAAGAAAGGCACAAGGGTTTGAAACGAAAACATGCACATATTATGCAAATCAGCATGCAAGCAAAATCATCTGGCATTGCACCCTGGGGGCGGGCCCCATCTCCCCTGCCTGCCACCATCCCCAATCTGCACTGGCTGCCTCCCTTCAGGGGGGGCTCCCCACCCTGCCCATGCTTCTGCCCTTCTTCCCTCCCTCTTTGGGTACTGGGCGCAGAACACTGCTGTGAATTCAACAGCAACCTGCAGCCCTGTGACCACAGCAGCCTGCACACTGTCCAGCTGCGGCCCCAAGGACCCACCTGGCCTGAGCCAAGAGCTGCGGCCACTTCTGCCGGTGACGGGGGTCATGAAGAAGACAGGGGCTACTAAGTGGCTATGAGTGCCTTACCCCACCCCGCACCAAAGCCCCCAGACCAGGCCATTTCCGGCTTGACCTGCTCTGGGACACTCAGCATGTGCTCTTGACAGGAACCCCTGGATTGTGTGCCCACTGTGTGCTCCTCATGCCTGGAATGCAATCAAAGAGCACCGGGCTGGGATGGGGGAGCTGCTTGACAGTGTTGGCTACGCCAGGCAGCACACACATATGACTGCGGTTCTCTAAGATTCTGGTGTGGCTGTATCATTCTTGTCACCTTGGGAAGAAACCATAGCCATTCCAACGTGGCCCAACACACAGAGAATGCCAGGCGGTGACCACTCGTGCTGAGGTCACTGGCTTGCATAGTTACTAGGATACTCTGCTGCCCTCATTACTTGTGAGTCCATGCCTTCTGCTTATTAAAAAAAGAACGCGGCCAGTCTTGTAACACAGTAGGTGAAGCCTCAACCTGCAGTGCTAGGTATATCATATGAGCACCAGTTCAAGTCACAGCCACTGCACTTCCAATCCAGCTCCCTGCTAAAATCTAAAGTGCCTGGAAAAGCAGAAGATAGTCCAAGTCTTTGGACCCCTACACTCACATGGGAGATCCAAAAAGAAGCTCCTGGCTCCTGGCTACAGATCAGCCCAGCTCTGGCTGTTACGGCCATTCAGGTAGTAAAGGGGCAGGTGCGATCCCTCTCTCTCCTCTCTCTCTCTCTATAACTGTGCCTTTTAAATAAAAATACAATTTTTCAAAAAGGAGAAATGACAGAAGTGTTGCCTGCAAAGCTGGGCGTGTCACCCAACAGCAGCCTCAATGCCTCGTATTGATCCCACCTCTCCATCACATCCTTTCCTCCATACTCCATCTAATCTGCTGTGTGTAGCCTATGAGTGCGTAGGTCATGGCAGGCAGGTCTGTGTAGGTACACACTATCACGCTGAGCCGTTTGCACCCCTCTGCTCGGTGACAGCCAAGTGCCTGCACTTGAAGCCATCCCTGCTCTGTTTCCTTAACTGTGACCTAGGAATCACCCCTCCACAACCCGCTGAGGCTCCTTCAGGTTTAGGGGATCATAGCAACATGCGAGGTGCACAGAGGCTGGCTGCCAAGCATGAGTGAGTTAACATGTGGATGGAGCCAGCTCCAGCTGGGACTGCTGTGGACACAGCACAGAGCAGGCAGAAGACTGGGGCAAGGCTAGAGCAGATGCTCAGGTCAGGCAGCATCTGGGAGAGGGGAGGAGCCGGGGGCGGGGGGAGTGTGGCGGCTCATACCTGGTAGTCGGGCTTGGTGAAGTAGTCGAGGCTGGCGATGTGGTCCAGGAAGAGGTGAAACTCCGAGGGCATGTGCTTCAACAGCATGCGATGCTCATACTTCTCCTTGATCATCCCCACCTGCTCCTGCAGGCAACGGGGCGAGGGAGCTGCAGCCCGGCTGCCCCCATGCCGGACCCCTCCGCCCTCTCCAGCCCCACGCACCCGGGGCTCACTTTGTCCTTGATCTTCCTCCAGGGCAGCTGGCCCACTGCGAACTCCACCAGCATGTAGAAGAGGGACCACAGGTCATCGTGGCGGCCCATCTCCTGGGGGCGGGCAGCGAGTCACCCATGGCTCTCATGACCTCCCTTGGGCGTGGATGGCTACACGTCTCTCCAGGGACACTAATCAAGGAGGCTTGACACCCAGACCTCCTGCAGATGACGGAGCTGGGGTCTCTGTCCCCAGCCCGTCAGCACACACACAAACCGACAAGTTGACATAGCTGCCTGTCCTGTGTCACCCCCTCCTCCTCCACAGTGGGAACAAAAAGGACAGATGTCCCAGAAGAAGAGGAGGAAGAGAATGGGCATTCAGGATGCCAGCAGGGTCACCTTCTCCCAACGCAGCTGGCAGATTCCTGTCCCTGCCCCATTCTCCTTTCCCCTCCTTAACACCAGCCTGCCCCCTGCTCCAGCAATAACACTCCATTCTGACCTCACTCCCATGGCCACCACCTGCCTCAGCCCACACCTGCCACTCACCCGGTTCTTGTGGGCATTGACTGAGGCGTAGCGGACAGTCCCACGAAACCCGGCCACATTCCGAGGCTGCAGAGAGGAGACCACCAATGAGAGGCTCACCCCTCCATCCTGGCCACTTGTATGCTTAGCTTAGCCCTGTCTTGTCCCTGGCTTCCTTTTGCTTTCATCCCCCTTGCTCTGCAAGGTCGCCTGGCTAAGAGCAGACCCAAGACCTACCCTGTGACTCGTCCATCTCACACCTGCCTCTAGTGTACAGCTTGCTGGCCGTGGCTGTGGCATCTCCCTGAGAGAGCCCAGGAGGAGGGAGAAGAGACCATGCTTGGTGTGCATGCCTCAGTTGGGGGACACAGATATCAACCGCCAGGCTGGGGTGGGGCTGGGGTGGGGGTAGGGGAGTCCACCACTGTCCTAGGTCCCCAGGATGTGGTAGCACTCACGGGTCGGACGTCTCCTGTGGTGTTGGTGTACTGCCGGGCCAGCCCGAAGTCCAGCATGTAGCACTTCCTATAGGTGGAGGGCAGCCTGCCCATAGCGAAGTTCGACTGCCAGCAACAAAGAAAGAGCAGCCATGAGCCAGCACTGGGGGCTCCAACTGCCCAACCCACCATGAGGGGTGTTAAGAGAGGGCTAGGGGCATGCAGTCACACACAGGAAGACCTCAAATGCATGACTGCCTGTGTGTGTGTGCATGTGTGGTGGGCACCGTGCCTTATCTGAGGGCTGCCTACGGGTCTGTCCCTTTAGTGATGAGGAAACTGAAGATCACAGGCAAGAAGGGGCTTTTCTAAGATTAAACAGCAAGAGAGGGTGAAATGGCCAGGTCGTAAACCTGGACCGGCACAGCTCTAAACCCTCGGCCTGGTGACAGGGTCTAGGGTAGCTATCTGGCCACAGGGCACTGTATGACATAGGGCCACTTTTCTGATCCCTGGAGGTGGGGAGTTTTTCTCCCAGCATCAAGATCCAAGAGGTCACCAAGTCAACTCCTTGGGAGTTCCCTTCCAAGCCCCCCACTCCCTCCCACTCACCCTGCCATCCTCCCCTAGCTCCTGCCCTTTCTGTGTTCACAGGCCACTGGAGGATCAGAGACAAAGAAGGGAAGAGTGGGACAGATGTGAGGACGCGGCCATGGCCATGGTTATGGGGCAGCAGGGGGGTGTGCCCACTGGAAGCTGAAGAAAGAGGAGGAGGAGCAGGAGCTCAGGGTGGAGAGCAGGAGGAGTTCAGATGACAAAGCTGAGTGCCCACAACTGGTGTCGGGGAGCGGAGTCTGGGGGTGAGGGGGGCTCACCGGCTTGATGTCCCGGTGCAGGAAGCCCACCGAGTGAATGGCCTCAATGGACTCCAGGATCTGCTTGCCCAGGCGCAATGTGGTGCTCAGCGTGAAGGTGCCTCGAGGCTGACTTCGGCGCAGGTCGGCCAGGTTCCGGCCCTGGAGATGGAGGGCAGGGTAGGGAGGGCAGACAGGAGGATGAGACCACAGGCCAGCCTCAGCTGCCATCCTAGCCTCCTCCTTCCCCGACTCTTCCCAGCCCCTTCCCTGAATGTCCGTGCCCACCCTCCGCTTGCCCAGCAACCAGTTACCCTGCTCCTTTGACCTGCAGGGGGAGAGGGGAAGGCGTGTGGGCCGGGGGGGGGGGGGGCTCACCTGAAGCTGCATCACTACATAGTTGAATTTCTCGTTCCTCCCACAACCGATAAACCGGCACACGTGGTCCTTCCCTGAGAGGCACAGAGAGGGAGGTTTCCCAACTCCAACCCTAATGTGAGGGCTCCTTGATTCCTGGCCCACCCCAGCCCTGGACCCCAGGGTGCCTCTCCCATCACTTTCTCCTGCCCTTGGCCCCATCATGTCTGTTAGACTCTGGTTCCCTCATTTCCATCCCGGTACTGCTCTATTACCTCTTCCAGCCACAGTACTCCCCCTCTTCCCCAGCTACCTCTCTGAGCATGGCTCTGAGAGCCTGGCTGCAGCATCCCTCCCTCACCCCACACCTGCCCGGCCCAACCCAGGCCCACACCTTGCAGCTTTTTGAGCACGGCCACCTCCATCTTGAGGACCTGCTTGGGCTGCTGGGCTGACTCCACCTTGAGGGCCACATTCTCCCTGGTCAGCAGGTCCATGGCCTCATAGATCTCACCAAAGCCGCCGCCCCCGATCTTTTTCAGCTACAGGGATGAAGGAGAGGGGGTCTCCTCAGGGATCATGCTGGACAGTTCCTCAGCTCAGCCAGCAGTTGTGGCTCTTCCTTCAGGGGCCGGGAGCCAGGGTGTGTGTGTGTGTGCACGTGTGTGTATGATTCCAGGTCTTCTTTCTTCCCATCCAAGTACTAGTGTGTGTGTGTGTGTGTGTGTGAGCGTGTGTGTATGACTCCAGGTCTTCTTTCTTCCCATCCAAGTACTAACCAGGCTCCACCCTGCTTAGCTTCCGAGAGCAGCCAAGATGGGTGCAGTCAGGATGGATGACTATAAACAGGCCTCTTTTCCTTGCCTCACCCCCAGCATCAGTGCCCCAAATTCCTGTCCTAGTGCCTGGGACAGAGCTCAGCCCTCAGGCTTCCATCACCTGCATGCACACACACATACACACATGTACACATGTGACTGCACACCCACGTGCACACATGCTTGCAGAGCAGACAGCAAAGATGTGTGACTCCACACAGACAAGGGGACAGACTTGCACTGGATTATAAAGGGCCTAGTGGACTACCCTGGACATTTTCTTCTCTAGAAGAACAACATATACTCTCCTCCTCCCTTGCCCCTCCCATCTAGACTGAACAACCCCCATCCAGAAGGAAAACCAGCTCCAGGGCCTCCCAGACTGCTCCCCCTGTGGCAGCCAGCACATGTTGGGGTGTCAGTGGTGGGAGAAGATATTCCGGAGAGGGGCTGGGCCATGGGTATCCCAGCCACACCCACTGCTGAGGGTCACGTGGCTGGCTAGGTGCCTGTGCCTGTGCTGCACCAGATCGGGCCAAGACTCCCACTTGCAGACGGGTGGTGCGAGGGGCTTTGGACACAGTCCTCAGTCCTCGGGAAGCATGGCCGAGCTCTTTGAGGGGAAGGGAGGCACAATGCTGAGTTCAGGGGAGGAGGAGCACGCAGGGGGGCTGCTGGCCAGTGGTAGGGGAGCAGGGAAGAGGTGCCAAGTTGTCAGCAATGACTCGTCTCGGTTTCGGCTTCTCCATAGCCACCTTCAGGGCTGGCCTCCCTGTTCTGAGAATCTCCCAGAGCCCACCTGCACCCCCGCCCTGAATTTCTGATGACCTAGATCTGCCAGCAGGTGAACTCGTGCCCCGCCCGCCGGCTGCGTCTACCTTGCTACCCTCCCCTTCCGCTCTCGCAGCACCTGAGCCAAGATTGGTGGTGGAGCTAAAGGACCGCAGCTTCCCAGCAGGTTCCCACTCCAGAAGGATAGAAGGAAGGGAAGCAGACAGCTAGGTGGGTCCTAGGGGAAGAGAGGGGTTCTTGTGTCCACGAAAGAGGAATACAGAGAGAAACCATAGCAGCTTTCTACTGGGACATGCCCAGGAAGAGAGAGACTCAGGACACGTGGGGGTAAGGGGATTGGAGGGGCAAATCTGCCTTTCCAATATAAATAAATTTTAAAAATAGTCCTTTAAAAAATCAAAAGGGAGTCGAGTTGGTGCTTGGCATAAGACAGGTGCATCCCACATGACAGAGCCTGGGTTTGAGTCCTGACTTGCTTCCGGCTCCAACTTTCTTTTTAAAAATTATTTATTTATTTTTACTTCAAAGTCAGATTTTTACAGAGAGGAGGATCTTCTGTCTGATGATTCACTCCCCATGTGACCACAATGGCCGGTGCTGCACTGATCTGAAGCCAGGAGCCAGGAGCATCTTCCAGATCTCCCACACGGGTGCAGGATCCCAAGGCCTCGGGCCGTCCTCTACTGCTTTCCCAGGCCACAAGCAGGGAGCTGGATGGAAGTGAAGCTTCTGGGATTAGGACCGGCGCCCATATGGGATCCCGGAGCTTTCAAGGCGAGGACTTTAGTCGCTAGTCCACCACACTGGCCCGTGGTTCCAGCTTTCTGCTGGAAGACAGCAGGTGGCGGCTCAAGGACTTGGCTCCCTGCCAGCCACATGGAGTTCCCAGCTCCTTCTAGCCTGGAGCAGCCCCAGCTGCTGCCGGCATTTGGGAAGCAACCCAGTAAATGCAAGATCTGTGTTTCTCTACCAAATCATACATCTTTTTAGAAATATTAAGAAAAATAAAAATTAAGAGATGCAATCCAATTAAAACATAGAAGAAAATAAGAAGGGGAAAAAATAACTTCGAGGTTGAAGTGGAAACTTTTCTGGCCAGCATTGCTCTGACTGCTGAGGAAGGCGCAGACCTAGTCCAGGGTCCAGCAATGGGAGCACACTCTCCATCTCACATTCCAGGCCCTATTCCTCCCCGTCTTCTAAGTTCTTTCACAGTCCTAAACTCTGCTGAAGGTTTTCCTCAAGTTGGAAGGGCAGAAAGGAGCCTGGACTCTGGGCCCAGTTCTGATGCCCCCAGGTGACAGTGCAAATGCCTAAGCCATCAGCCAGGGAGACCTGGTCCCCCTGCCCATAACCCAATCCTGAGCCTCAGTTCCCACACCTGTGATATCAGGAGCTGATGCCACAGGTGGCTGAGATGACGCCGTGTGCAGGCATGGTGACAGTGATGGCTCAAAACGAATGCTGTGTGTTCCTGTCGCTAACTACCCTCTCGCTGCCTGGGGTACTGGAGCCCCATTTTCTCCCAGCCACAGGCCAGGTCAGGAAGTCTGTTCTTGGTCTCCAAGCCTTGCCTCCCTGGCATAAGATGGCGCACTCCCTCCATCTTCCCTAGCCCGGCAAATGTCTAAGCAGAAAGGTAGGGGGGCCTGGCCACCCTCAGCTACTCTTGATTACTTCTGCCCAGTGCATCTCCCACTGCCAACTCCCCGAAGTACAGGAAAGTTCCAGACCCTCCTGCCCCTTCCTTCACTATCACCCTAGCTCCTGCCCCAACTTCTCCAGGATGACAAGGCACTGTCTCTCTGGAAGTCCCACACAGCCCCTTTCTCATCCTTAGGGTCCCTAGGAGTCTCCCCCTCTCACCATATTGCTCTCCCGGAGACCCCCAAAAGACATCCCTGAAAACACCACCACCTTGGCCTCTCAGTACCTCTATGGGACCTGCGCGGCGGCCCGGAGGCTGTTGCCATGGAGACCCGCCCGCACTCAGGCTCCACCCTCCTCCCCAGGCCTGCACCCCTGGCAAGCCATCTCCACCCCCCCATCCCAAGCCACGGTCCTCGGGCGGGCGCCAACACACACACACGCACACACACACACGCACATGCACACGCGCAGAGTAAACCTGACCTCGGCTGTTCTCCCTTCCTCCCCGGGCAGACCCACAAGTTCACATGCTGCTTCTGCCCACGCTGCCACCCCACGCCATCCTGCCCCCACACTGATAAGAACACAGAGCGCGCTCTTAGGCGACAAAGAGAAAGGGAAGCGAGGATCCGATCCAAGAGGCCCTACTCGCCGGACGCTGCCATTCTCGACCCCCGCGCGTCCCCTCCCTTCCAGCCCCCTCCCCCGGGGAAGCTCGCACTACAACTCCCAGCAGGCCGAGCAGCCTAAAGTCCCGGGCTGGAGGAGAAGAGCACGCTGGGAGATGGAGTCTCGGCATGTTGCACCTGCCGCAGAAACCAGGGAGGGGAGGAGGGTGCACGGAGAAGATGGAGTGCGGCTGCGGTGGGAGCCGCCTGCAGGGCCTCTTTCCCCACGCACAAGCCTCGGCGTCCTCTGCCGAAGCGGAGGGGACACGCGCTCATTCACTGTCCTTCTCCAAGGTCCGGGCAGAGGGAGAGCGAGCCCCCTCCCCCACCCCCTCCTCCCTCCTCCCCACACTGAGCTCTGCAGCTCCTGCCCAGACATCCAACCAGGAGTTGTTCCAGGCTGGGCCCGACCAACGTGACCTAGCGGGGAGAGGATGAACGAGGGCGGAGTTGGAGAGAGGGTGCTGGGAGGGAGCGATTGTCCACATGTGTGGGCAAAGATGATGACCCGCAAGCACTTTGCAAATGAGTCCCGGACAACCCCCCACACCTTAAGGGCAACGGTCTTTAGGTCGACCCCTCTCCCCCCTGCCCCCTCCTCCTTCCCAATGCCTCCAGCCCCACCAGCACCAGGGTCACTCACTCACCACCTTCCAGCGATCCTTGACCGGGAAGTTGGCCGGCAGGATGTCGGCCTGCTCCCCTCCCCCACTCATGTTGGTTTCGTCTTTAAGGGCAGCCGCTAGGCACTGCATCCGCCAGCCTGACGGAGGGGTGTCCGCAGGGTCTGCCCTGGGGGGGCCATCTACCTGGGGGAGCAGTGAGGGACCATAAGTGGGGACCTTGCCGCACCTGGCAGGTGCGGAGGCTGCCAGCTGCACTCCGCCAGTCAGCATCCTCTCCGGGTCCCCTGGGTAGGTGCTCCAAGGATTGCTGGCTGGAGGTACAAACTGGCCCTGTGAAATCAGCAGTGGGGCCCAAGTGCTGACAAAAAAAGGCAGGGAACAGTGGTTGCTCAGGCAGTGGGGAGAACATTGGTTAGAGACCACTGCTAGCCAATGAAGGTGGAGAGAATTCACAGACCAGGAGGACATTCTGGACTGGGACCTTGTCACGGTCAAGGAAGCCTGCACCGTTAAGGACCAGTCGTATGACCTGGGCTCCACGGCTCCCACATCTCCGTGGGCCCCCCAGGATGCCCGTGCAACTGTGCGTCACAGGCTCTGAGACAAGGCAGGACCTCCTGAGCTTGAGGTGACCCAGGAGAAAGCCACGGCAGAGTGACCTGATTATGCACCAGGGGAAAAGAAAAGGGAGAGGAGACACTTCATCCCCTGAGGCCAATGCCCAGGGAGGAGGAGGTGGTGGCTCTCTGGGGACCGGAGCCCTGTGGCCATGCTGAACTGGGAGAGCAGGGAAGTAGGAGAAGCCCATCAGAAGGCAAGGAGCCTCAGGTGGGCTGGGGTGAGTTCAGGGACCAGCAAGGGGCAAGCTCTGGAGCCCTGGGAGAGACAGAAGTGGGCGTTTCCCCAGCGGTGAGGCACGCGTTGCAATGTGTGCATGTGTGTGTGTACACCTGTGCATGCATCGCCACGGTAAGTGTGTGTCTTTATGCCTGTGTCTGTGAGCCTATGTGGGCTGGAGTGTGTGTGTGTGTGTGTTTGGCAGGTGCAACAGGAAATGACTCTCTGAGCTTTTTGCTAACCAACCCAACACAGCTTTGGGGAACCTGGATGCTTCCCCAACAGTTTTTTTTTTTTTTTATTCATGCAACACTGTGCCAGCACAGTGACCCTGGAGGGTCCCAGTCAGAAAAGAAAAACAGGGCATGGAGGAACTTAGGACTGAGGCTCGGGAAGGAGGAGAGGGAAGGAGAAGAGCCAAGTGGCTCGAGACACCCATTAATGGGGTGGGAACTATCCAAACTTGTCCTGTCTTGGGAGAAGAGAAATTTCTGGGGCGGGGGTGCTCCAGGGTGGAGGCATCCTGATATCGGCAGGGAGAGGGGATGTGACACAACTTTGGCCAGGTCACAGGGTGCCAGAGGGACATGAGGGGCAGAGCAGGCTTCAGGGAGAGACACCTGCCACTTTGTCTTTCACAAGGTGGAATCCACATCACTCCTACCGCTGTGGGCTGTGAGCAACAGGACGGCAGCAGAGGGAAGAAGAGGTGGGGGGTTGGGGACCAAGACCGCAAGCTCAAGAAACAATTGCCCCTGTGGAGGGTGGGGGTCTCGGAAATTAACCAGGTGACCACCGCAGGATGGTGCGATCTGTGGGTTGATGAGGTAAAGTAGTGTCCTGCCTCCATGCCTAGACAGGTGAACCTGAAGGGAACGGGCAAGAGGGGAAAGGACAGACCCGGGCCTCTCCCCTGCCCCCGTCTGTCCCTGAAGGTCGCATGCACACAGCGACTTGGATGCCCCAGTACTGCCCCTCAGGCCCCTGAGCTTGCATGAGAGGTAGAACTTGAAGAAATGTTTATTCATCTCTCCTGTGTAAGGCCACTGATGTGCGCACAGATGTGCAATCATGCATGTGCCGTGTGTATGTGTGCATGCGTGTGCCAGGCAGCAGGATTGCCTAGCTAGTGACTGGGGGACTTGTCCTGGTATGAAAATGCATGGCTGAGTGCTTTGGCCAGGTGTGTGCCAGGTGTGTGTGGGCATGTGGGAGTCCAGTGGGAGGTCCTGGGCACAGGTGGAAAGGAGTGTGGAAAGGGGCAGAGGAGAATGGGAGGGATGAGGAGTGATGGATCAGAGGACAGGATCAGGTACCATTGAGACAGGTGAACCACAAGGACAGGTGAGGGAACCATACAGGCCCACGCTGGGATTCCGGCACAGTGCAGAAGGAAGAAGTAGGTAAGGAGGCTAGTGGGAGGAATGCAGGGACAGGAGGAGAGAGATGAGATTGGGAGGCAGAGGAATAACCTCTATCCGGCTGACAGGAGAGTGGGACGAGACTACCGGACAGGGCACGCCGCTGGGGAGCAACGAGGAGCAAAATCCCTGGAGGACCAGCTGGAGAGCGTGCTGGGGGCAGGGAGCGGCCCCAGGCCTCGGGCTGCGGCCCAGGCGGTGCAGGCGGTGCAGGCCGGTGTCCTGCTCGGCCGGCAACCGCAGCCCAGGGCACGCTGTGTGCCTGCAGCCGAGCTGGGTGGGAGGCCCTCGGAGCTCGCGGCAAGCACCCCCTCCCGCCCCCGGCCCGGCCCGCCCGGCCCCGCCCCGCCTCACCTGCTCTGTGCCCGCTGCGGCTGCAGCTGCGGCGGCAGCGGAGGCAGCGGCTCGGGGCGGCGCATCCCCCGGGGCCGGGGCGGGGCGGGCGCGGGGGTGGCTCAGCGCAGCGCGGGGCGGCCCGCTCCCTCCGGCGGCGGTGGTGGTGGCCTCCCGACCGGGACCATCCCGGCCCGGCCCGGCCCCGATCCTCTTCGGGCGGCGGCGGCAGCGGCGGCGGCAGAGCGGGGAGCTGCCCACAATGCACTGCGCCGCCAGCATCAGCACCAGCCCTGACATCACCGCTCCACCGCCCCGGCTCTGACATCACCGCCCTGTCTCTGACATCACGTTCGTCCCAGTCCCTCCCGCCTGTACGCTCTCCCTGAAAGCTCCCCTCGCTACTCGCAGGTCCTCAGTGGTGTCTGCTTCTATGAGTTCAATCCCTCCAGCTCAGCTCCACGACTCTACCTGTTCCATAAAACTCACCTGTTCCCAACACCTTTCACCTCTCCACTGCGACAGGTCCCCAGTACTCCTGGCCTCACTGCACCGGCGTTACCTGGCTCCCCACTCCGTCCTCCATGTGTTCATGGACTTCTAAACCTGTTTGCCCTCACCTGTTCCCAGTTTCCCATCCGGCCCCATCACTTACCTCTTCTAAAACCATCTTATGTTGCAACTTACCACCCCTTCCCTGGCTCCCTGGTATTCACCTCATTACACCAGAACTTTGCCTCTTGGCGTAACCTCTCTCTTTTTGGCCCTTTCTCCCATCTGTTGACAAACTCTGCCATTGTTTCTGACTGCTTACCAAATAAGATGCACACTCTTTACTGTGACATTAACAACGTTTCCCAACGTGCACGCGTGAGGCCAGTGCTCGCCTCTGGCAGGCAAGCCGACTCGGTATTCTCTGAAGATACTTTGCACTTTGTCTCTCTCAAGTTGTTCCCTCTCTCCCTGCTCCCCCACACGCCTTCAACAAACACATCCTGGACATCTCTCATAATAACAGCAGCAATATTTATGGCTGCCAAACGCTGTTCTAAATTAATACATCCGAGGGCACTATTTAAAGGCTGTGGGAAATGGAGCCAAAAAGAAGTTTATTTTGTTGAAAAAAATACATATTGAAATCCATGCTTGCTATTTCACGATTTGGGGGGAAAACTTCCTATCTGCATAGATTTTTAAATTTTTAAAGACTATTTATTTATTATTGGAAAGTCAGATTTACGGAGAGGAGGAGAGACAGAAAGATCCTCCATCTGCTGATTCACTCTCCAAGTGGCTGCAATAGCCAGAGCTGAGCCGATCTGAAGCCAGGAGCCAGGAGCTTCCTCCAGGGCTCCCATATGGTGCAGGGTCCCAAGGCTCCAGACCGTCCTCCACTGCCTTCCCAGGCCACAAGCAGGGAGCTGGATGGAAAGTGGAGCATCCAGGATACGAACCAGTATACATATGGGTTCCCAGAGCATGCAAGGCAAGGATTTTAGCCCCTAGGTCCAGATTTCAAACTTTTGTACCTAAATAATCTTACCTTTCATGCCATGTTCTATGAAAATTTTAATACAGGGCCCGGCGCGGTGGCGCAAGTGGTTAAGGTCCTCGCCTTGCACGCCCAGAATCCCATATGGGCACCGGTTCTAATCCCGGCAGCCCCTCTTCCCTTCCAGCTCCCTGCCTGTGGCCCGGGAAAGCAGTCAAGGATAGCCCAAAGCTTTGGGACCCTGCACCCATTTGGGAGACCCGGAAGAGGCTCCTGGCTTCGGATTGGCATAGTATCGACCGTTGCGGCTCACTTGGGGAGTGAATCATCGGATGGAAGATCTTCCTCTCTGTCTCTCCTCTCTGTATATCCGCCTTTCTAATAAAAAATAAAATAAATCTTTAAAAAAAAAAGAAAATTTTAATACAGATTTTTTGTTAATGTATATATTTTTTTTAAAAAGATTTACTTGTTTTTATTTGAAAGGCAGATTCAGAGAGAGAGCGAGATCTTTCACCCACTGGTTTACCTCCCCAAAAGGCTGCAGGGTTACAGCAGCGCTGATCTGAAGCTGGAAGCCAGGAACTTTTTTCTGGTATCCCATGTGTGTTCAAAGACACATGGAGCTAACCATTCTCTACTGCTTTCCCAGGCCATTAGAAGGGAGCTGGATCAGAAGTGGAGCAGCTGGAACACACACTGGTGCCCATATGGGGTGCTGGTGCTACCGGTGGAAGATTATAATGGCTCACCACTATGTCAGCCCCATGTATTTCCTTTCTTTAAAAGGAAGCATAACTGGTATCCCAATTTGTGCCTAACCACCCCTTCCAGCCATCAGGCAGCTTGTTAGCAGCCCCCAGAGCCCTCTCTTACCGTAGACCAAACAGAAATAAAAGTTTTTGCTGCAACTTGAAAAACAAACAAACAAAAAAAGGAAGTGTAACAGAGAGAGAGAGAGAGAGAGAGAGACATCTTACATTAGCTGGTTTACTCACCAAAGGACCACAATAGCTGGAGCTGGAACTGGGTTAGCTCAAAGCCAG